CACACACACACACACACACACACACACACACACACACACACACACACACACACACACACACACACACACACACACACACACACACACACACACACACTCTCTCTCACTCAGGAAGGGGGCATGCCACTATTTAGCGATTAGTGAAACAGACTTGTGGCCAGAAGGTTGACAGTGTGAATTCCCAGTGTCCTCCCTCCTCCGAGTCACTGCAGGGTGTCCTGGAACTAAGCAGCTAACCTGCCTCACCCCTTCCACCCCCACCAACCCCCGACTGTCTGCAGTGTCCACACAAGTGTGAAGCACGACGCTGCTGAACACAACAGCGACAATTCGACTGAAAATACTAATTTGATAAATAAATGGTAAAGACGGATATAACACTGACTTGTAGCTATAAAGCATTTCCAGACATCTTATTAGGTACACCTTGTCCGTAATGGGTTGGACCACTTAATCCACTGTACTAGATTAAGATCCTGTGACTGTGGAGGCCGTTTGAGTATAGTGAACTCGTCATGTTCAAGAAACAAGTTTTAGGTGGTTTGAATTCTGTGACATGGTGTGTTATCCTGCTGACACTGGTTATAAAGGGATTGACATGGTCAGTAACAATCAGTAAGATGGGCTGTGGTGTCTACACAGTGCTCAATTGGTACTACTTCCACCATCAGCCTGAACTGTTGAGACAAGGAAGGATGGATCCATGCTTTCATGTCGTGTACCCCAAATTCTGACCCTACTGTCTGTCTCAGCAGAAATTGAGACTCAAGCCAGGCGACATCTTCTATTGTCCAGTTTTGGTGAGCCTGAGTGAACCGTAGCCTCAGTTTCCTGATCTTAGGTCACATGATCGGCACCCAGTATGGTCTTCTGTAGCCCATCAGTGTCAAGGTTCTCTGTGTTGTGCATTCAACGATCATCATACCTCGGTATGTAACAAGTGGTTATTTGTTGCCTTCCTAATGGCACGAAGCAGTCTGGCCCTTCTCCTCTGACCTCTTCTCCCAGAGAACTGCCGCTCACTGGATATGTTCTCCTTCTCTCTCATTCTCGTGAACTTGAACTTCAGCAGGTAGTTTTTTCCATACCTAACTCCATTCAGTTGCTATCACGTGATTGACTATTTGCATTAGCGACCAGATGAACAGGTGTACCTAATGAATATGTACATAGTACAGTATACCCTTGTCAGCCACTTCATTGGGTACACCTATATTTTTAACAGAGTGGAAACTTATTCTTAAAGCTTTTGTGTCAATATGTCAACAGCTAAGGAAACAAGAACTGAGAATCTCAGGGGGAGGTGGAGGCCAAAACGGTGCTGTTGGGAGTCTGAATGTCAGATTTACATTTGTCAGGTGGCGCGAGAAGACTTGCACACCTGCTGGATGCGTAAACACGCATCTGTTGCCAAATGATGTTTGAAAAATTCTGACTAAGATACAGAATTATCCCAAGAACTACCAAATATGGAGAGGATGACGCAGTGTTTTTCTAAAAACGTTGAAAGTTTCAGATGTGTCGACAATAACACGCAAGGTCTCTGTGAATGTGTTTAAGGTGGACCATCTTAACCTGCTCTCTAACGGATATACTCTTTAATAAAGCCGTGAATTAGGTGTCATCTCTATTTTCAAACATGTGCAGTGGAAGAACCCAGGAGCTGGAGGAAGAGCAGCCCACTGTTGAGCAAGAGCTCAGGAGGCTGATGGAAAAACCAGGTGAGGACGTTTAGGGATGAAACTGAGCAGAGTGCACAACAGGGGGAAAAGGAAAACCGACCGCTGATCTGAGCATGAAATGTGTGTGTGTGTGTGTGTGTGTGTGCAGAACATCTAAAAACATCCTGGGACAGGAAGAAAGAACAGGAGCTGATGAAGAAACTGGTGGCGATTGTCAACGATAGAAACGCTATCGTGGAGGGTCTGGATGAGGACAGACTCAGGTGTGTGTGTGTGTGTGTGTGTGTGT